TTCCTCAGCCAGCCATGTTGGCTGGGGAATTCTGGGAGTTGAAGTCCACCCATCTTAAAGTTGCTGAGGTTGAGGAACCCTGCCCTAGGAGATATGTCAGTGCATATGACACTGTATGTCAGTGAAGGCAAAATGTGCTTCTTTTTCTCTCTCTCCAAGGAAATAGCATATTTCTCTTCCTAGGAGTCAGGAGGAATCTCCCACAGAGGGCTTTTGAAATTAGGCCATAGGCAACATTAGAGCCACAGACAGGCTTTCTTTGCTCTAGTTTCTGCTATTAAGAGACTACCAACAACAAAAGGATTGAAGGAAATGGAGTGGCCTATTAAGAATCCTTTTAAGCATAATTATATATTGCAGAGCTAATTCAGTGGATTGACTGAGTTATAAGCATCCATTCAGGCAGAAGAGACTGTTGATCCAGCAAACTAAGAAAGGAAATCTGGGCAATGGCATTCATGATTACAGAAGTATGGTAGCCTAAACCCTGAATTCTTGACCAGGTATTCCTCTTCGGGCCTTCCTGCAGAGACAACAGTGTGCAGTAGACAGTGTTCTAGAACAAACTGGAATTATGATAATGTATTACTTCTGCTTCAAAACATTGATCTCTGTTATGGATTATGCCCATCATCTAACTGGGTTCCTACAGTTTCTGTTGTGCAGTTCCATCTCTGAAAGAGGGTGGGAGGGAGGGAAAGAAGTAAGTTTTGTTAGTTTACTTGGTCCTGAAACCTAGTTTTCATCCATTACAAATGAGTTGATAGTGAAAATGTGGTAACAATTTTTCTCATGGAACCTCTTGATAGGCTATGTTGGAATTATCAGAAGTCAGTTATGTAGTTTCTTTTCAATTAATATATTAACTTTAAAAAAAATTAAAAGCCCATGAGAGGAATTATTAGAAGTCAGTTGTGTAGTTCTTTTCAATTAATATATTAACTTTCTTAAAAAATAAATTAAAGGCCCATGAGAGAATCTGTGCTGCCTTGCTCCAGAATTCCAGGAATCAATGTCCAGAGGTTACGTGCAAAGATGCAATAAAGCCTGATGGTCACTGCTGTGAAATATGTGGTGAGTGGTTATTGTTGCAACTGTATTCATGCAACAGAAGAGCAAATTCCCCTAATCCCTTGTACACAGGACATGGGCTGATGATCACCCTATTCCTTTGCTCTGCCCATTCACATTATTGGGAAACTCCTGGTAGAGCTTTGCATGGGAACAATCCCAAATGGAGGAAAAGTGATTGTATATGTGTATAAGGTTTCTGAGAGTAGGAATCCAACCTGAACAATGATTAGTGAAGTAAGCTTTATAACTATACCAGAAAAGAAATGTATTTTAGAAAGACGTGATAGGGATTGAGATAGGAAAAGCCAACTACATCTTGAAAAAAGGAGAGTCAGAGACTCTCTGTGCTCTGTGTTTGCAGGCCTGGGAGCATAAGCCAAAGGAAATGATCTGAGATTAGCAATCTCATAGACAAAGAGCAAAGTGATGCACCAAAGGGGACACAAAGTAAAACCTTAACTGTCTATATACACCCCACTGTTCCTTGTGGTTAATAGGTTGTGAAGCGCTGAAAAGTTAGTGCCACCGAAGTCATCTTTCTGTTATTGTAATGGAATGTGAGAATGACCTTGGTAGACACGGGGAAGAGATGCTGCCCAGGGAACTATCAGATAAAAGGGAGAGGAGCCCACAACTGAGTAAAGGAAAGAGAAAGAAACTTAGAAAGGACCTCCCTAACGGATCAGACAGTGAATAGGGACAGTGGGAGATTTGTACTTTCAGACTTGCAAGATTGATGTCAGCCCTCCCAGGTAAACCAGACAGGAAACATGACCAGATGTTTATGGATCTACTTTATTGATAGGCTACATTAACAGAATCTTGCAAGTACTTCTGTTTCTATCCCATGCCCAGACCTGCATTCCAGCTAAAAAAGATTTAGATAATTATCATCTTCTAGGATCTTCAGCCAGTATCTTCTCAATAACCTTCCTCAAAAAAGAGAAGGTTGGAGACAGGGTGGAAGTTGATTGAGAGATGGTCTCTTCAGGAGAGAGTATACCACTGCCTCTTTCAGAATAGGCAATGGTACACTTTCCTTCAGAGGGGTATTCCCCACCTCCCAAATCTAGCCATGCACGTTTCATCTTGCCACCCAAAGATGGTAGGTGGAGCATAGATCCAACCCCCAGGCAGCAATACTCATACTATAGAGCACTTTATCCATTTCCTCAAGTTCCACAAATTCAAAAGAATCTCCAATAACATAGATAGATATTACCCTACTCACCTCACATGGCTCTGCTCAAACAGCATCAAGACATAGGCAACTTTACCTACAAAAAAAACAAAACAAAACACACATTCAGAATCATTCAGACAGACTGCAGGAGCTTTGTTCTTCAGTCAATCCCTAATTCATCTCCTTAAACAGGACCCACCACTTGGGAATCTGCAAATGCAATAAGAATATAGAACAAATGTTTTGCCACTTTCTGTAGGTCCAAACCTGATCATGTTCCAATGGTCTGTTGCATTCATTTTTAATCTTATGGTATTATTACTCTAGGTGCCTTTTCTGTTGCTTTCTTTCTGGGAGCTTCTCAGTAAGCTAGAGAGCTGTTCAGTGGGAAGAGGTATTGCAGGAGTAATTTTGTCCTGCAGGGTGCTCTGGTCATCTCATTATACTAGAGATTGACCAGATCCAAAAGTTGTCCACCTGATCATTGGAGAATTCCCCAAGAACCATCAGAAAACCCAGGATCCACCTGGTGCTTATAGTGAATTACCTTAATGGATCTTTTACCCTTGGTAGAGGTGGAGATACTAATGATCTACACTTTGACCAGGAAGTGATTTAGTCACAGCAAAAGATAGATGCCAGTGTCTACCATATTCAGCTCACATCTCATCTGCTACAAAGTAAAAACAAGGTCTCGGGTACATGCTCTCCTTTGTAGGTGTCCAGGTTATCTGGGATAAATTCATGTTTGCTATGGAGGCCATAAATTTTCAAGGCACTCCAAACACTGTCCCCAGGGCATGGAGATTGAAGTCCCCAAACACAACCTTGGGAATTTCAACACCAGCCTGGATGTGAAGGCTAGGAGCTTGTGGAGGGTACACCAGCCCTACTTTTTCACACCAGTCCAACTTTACACCCAGCTATCTCCAGAACAGTGATCCTGGTCACTGCCAAGTTCTCACAAACAAGTGCAGCAACCTCTCTTCCCTGATCTTGGCCTTATGGCTGCTACTGGCCCTGAAACCCAGGTGGGTAGATCTCTGAGAAACCCACATATCTGTCATTGCCCAGCCAGGTCTCTAATGGTGGATGACTGTACTAGATCTGCACACTCATCTACCTTAGGTCATGGATGAATGTAGTTTTATGTACACACTTCTGTTTAGCCATAACCTAAGATCAAGGCATCTGATGATTTGTCCATCCTGGCCAGGGCTAGGAAAAATGGATAAGAAGACAGGATTTGCACCAAAGTTGAGGATCTCCTTCTATAATGGTCTACCCAGTGTGGAGGAGCACAATAAATCACTAAAGAGTCCAGCTTATCAGGCAGGGATGTTGCAGAAGATAAAATTAAGAGACCCATGTAAGCTACCTTGAACTTTCAGAAAAACAGTAGGATATAAATGTAAATTATGAACATAGCAACACTTAAGGACAATATCAAACCAAGATTTAAGTGCAATTTAAAATGAAATATGTGTCAAACAGGTTAATGATGTTTCTTTTTACTTTTCTATTTCATTCACGTTTGTGATTTACCACAAACCAAATATGGAGCTTTCCCATGCCATTTTTTAAAATCCTAATTACAGTATGAAAACAAAATGCTTTAGGGAGTCACTACATGCTATTTAGACAAGTTTTTAAAAGCATTTACACCACATTTTCCAGAAATCCTATGCTCTCCTCCTCCGCATGCTGAGAAATATTCCTCATTAAACCAGTGCAGATCCAAAGCATAAATGAAACTCATGGGCGTGCAATTTTAGTGCCTCATGAGTAAAGACAGGACTGCTGTATCTTGGACCTCCATTGCACTCTGCCCAACGGTTTAAAAAAGACCAAGTTTTTACTGTATGGGCTCATTTGCGCTAAATCTGCTCCATTTGATTGTATTATTTTAAATAATATTTTCATTCTTACAGAATTTAGAATTTGGAATAAATAATGGGTAGATAGAAGAAATATCAATCAATCAATTTTATTTCAGTCATAGACCAGCATAGAACTAACAACATAACAATTATGGTAAAATAGAAATAAAAATAAAAAGTCATATTGATAGAATAAAATAAGGTAAAGATAAAATTAATGTAAAATTAGAGAATACAGGAATTAAAACCCAAAAGAATCCTATAAAATTACAATTAATTTCACAATGAATAATGAAAATGCTATACATAGCTAGGATAAGCAATACTAGAATTTATAAAACACTAGGAGAATATAAAGCTATGCTAACATATTAAGTCTAATACTTGCTGAAGCCCTGCTAGAGGGTTTTGGGATTAAAACCATCATGGTCCAACTAATTATAACAAAGAAATAGCAAAATAAAACACAGAACAGCATTTGCATATTTAAAGAAGAAGAGAAAAAAGGGGGGAGGAAGAAGGAAAGGGGGAAAAAAGAAGAGAAAATATATTGCATTATGGAAGCCTAGTTAAGGCTCAGCATCACCTCACTTCAGGAGAACTTACCACATTAGAAGAAATATAATGATGAATATTAGTTAGAATTAGTAATGATCTTAAAGTGGTTGATTGTGGCCTGAGGATGTCAGAGAGAAGAGAAGCCGTAAAAGGAACAAATGTTCCATGATATTAATAGGACTTTATACAGCAGCATATTTAATGAGCCTAAAGTCTTGTAAACTAAAATGATAGCAGTGATTCTATCAATGCCCTCATTATTGTCATCTTATATGAAATTGAGAAGTTTATCATCTCCCTAGTCCATTATTTATGAACAGCATTCTCTTCAGCATCATATTCTTCTGATCTTGTGTTCCCTAATTTTTTGAACTGAAGACATTAGGAATTGAACTTAGGACTCTCTATATTCAAGGCCTGATAACTATTTCCAAGCTATAGAATCCTTCCCTTTTACAGTGGGGCAAATTTCTGATTTCTGTGGCCTTTCAGGAAAAAATTATGTGAACTGCTTTGCAAACAATGGCCTAAAACATTCTTGCTGCACAGCAATAGATGTAGACTACCCAAGACAATCAAATTAATTTTCCACATTTATCTGGCATCTTGCAAAATTATCACAGTAACAAGTGCAAATTAAAATGTATATTTTTATGGCACTAAACATCTGCTACCTGAGGTAGATTTTAATTTATTTAAAAATCTGTCCCTACCATTACTCAGGGAAAGTCTGGATGAAAAGATGGGTCATCCATATAGGTCTGAACAATGTAAGGGACACCTCCACTTTTTGGAGAAGAACATTCCAAAGAGGGTGCCACTACCAAGCTTGTACTTGCAGAACTAATTGACATGAGAATGAGCAACAATGAATTCATCACAGTTTCAATTCATCCTTCCATGGAGAGCAAGATGTGGGGTAGATGAATGACTGAGTGTAGACATACATGGTTGATGTATCGAAGTATTGGAAGTGACCCAAAGGATATTCAGTAAACTCACTGTAGATTGACCATCACCCAAATGTAAGAATACTGTTTTATATTGTCTTATTCTGTGTTTTAACTACAGGGGTCATCATTACCTTAAAATACTCTGCTGATTTTGACATTGAACTCTATCGAAACAGAATATTCCACACTTTTCTGAATCTGGTATGTTTATTCTAAGCTTGTACATGATGGAAGTGGAGGTGTAGGCAATCAACTAGTCTGGAATAATTACCATTACAGAATAGTAGTTTGAGACAGGGATGTCTGCAGACCATGATCCAAAAAGTCAAGATGGTGCAACTGACACTTTGCACATAAAAAACAGGCAAAGCTTCAGTTACACCATTGTGGCTACTATCTTGACTTTTTTTACATAATGTGTGGACACCCCTGGAAAGGGAAGATTTAGGGGACAAATAAATGAAACAGACAACACCTCTTCAAGGACTCAGGCAGATGGGACCTAGCCCGTTTTTCACTGTATCTTTTAATGGAAGGTGCCAGAGACTGAAGCTGAGGCTTTTGGCATGCAAGTATGTGCTCTACCACTGAGCTATGTCCCTTCCATAATGGTCAGAGCTGTAATTATGCTGTATGCTGAAAGAGAAGAACACGAAAGATTTTGGGGAGCCACGTATTTGTGGTTTCTTCTCTGGTCATTTTTTTTTCTTTTCATGTAAGAGAGAAAGCAGTAAAAATGTAGCCTTTTATCATTTTTGTTTTGCACAAAAATGAAATGCATATAGATGGCTGGCTGGGGAATTCTGGGAGTTGAAGTCCACTCATCTTAAAGTGGCCAAGTTTGGACAACACTGCCCTAGAGCAAAACTGTCTTGTCACTCTGCTGCTGGCATAGCATTATATAGTTATCATTCTAAACAGGCTTATGTAGAGAAGTTTTAGATATAATTCTTAATACAACATTCATTGGAACCAAGAAGGCTGTGGCCTAGAGGGTATCTATGGTATCCATGCCAAAATATCTGCTAAAATACTAAATGAGTTGATTGTGAAATTCAGATTGTCATCTGAACCTGGACTATTTATCAAACTGCGGTTAAAACATAGCTACTTAACCATCATTGTAACTCATGGGAAAACTTGGCTACCATTAGGCAGAATCAAACAAGAGGATTAATCTATGATTAACTCTCACTTCTAAATTCCTACAGAGAGAGGGGAGACTAGCACAACCCTACAATGGAGTGGCTCTAGCATCTCTTATGCTTGTTTATTTTATTCTCTGTGGATGCTCAGAGGAGGTGGGAGGAAATGGAGATAGAAAGAGACTGATGAGGTGATTGTAATTTTGATCAGGCCATTCCAGTTTTAGTCTAATTTTATTTTTAATGAAACAGCTTTCCAAAACAAACCAAGAAGTATCAGGTGGCTAGTCAGTGTAAAGGTAGCTGGGATACCAGTGAAAATACTATTAAATTAGAAAATGAGAGCTGGACCATTGGATAAGTACATCCAGTCCTTACTGTTAGGAAAAGGCCTGAATGAGTTGTTATCTAATTGAAGAAAGACAGTTAATTGGTCATTGTCCCGACTAGCCCAATATCGAATATTTCTTAATATTTCTAGAGGTGTTGCTTAACACTTTTGACTGGCTTAAATAAATATGCTTCTCTCTGTCTCTTCTTTTGCAAAGCCCAGGAATAATGGTATTCAGATGGCCATGTCCAAGGTGCAAAAATTGCAGACTCCCTTGGGAATTGTGCCACGTGGCTTAGACTCATTCATCCAGATTGTGCTAATTGACAATAAAACGGGACCCTATGCTGGGATTCATGCTGAACAGCTGGCTAATGACATCATGAAGGATATAGCAGAGCATGGTAACCCTTTCTATTGTATTGCTGCGTATGTTCCTATTCCAGAGGTCCAACCTCAGGGAGACAACAGTGCACCTTGCAGTCTTCCTTGAGTAAAAGGGCATGGGAGAATTACTTTGCATGCCAAATGTCCTTGCAACCAAAATTAAAGGATCAGGTTACCAGTGATGGGAAAATTCTCTGTCCAAAACCATGGAGGACCATTGGTTGTTAGAATAGATGTTAATGTCTAGATGGCCAAAGTGTTTCAGCCAGTAGAAGACAGCTTCCTCCGTGTCTGCTTTGTGACAAGCATATGAGAGGGAGAGGGAGAGGGAGAGGGAGGAATTCCCTGGCTCTGGATGTACAAAGCTGGATGTGCTAGAAACCATTAAGACATTGGAAGACTCACTAAGTATTATTTCTGTTTACCCTGCCAGGCTTTCATTAATGCACTGTTAGGATTAATTTGGCTGCTATGGTATCATACTTTAAACTAATGGCGGGCGGGGGGGGGGGTGGGGGGGGGGGTTTTTTTT